AGTCTGACCCTTCCTCAGCAAGGACAACGGCCATCTCAGCCATCTTCACCATCCCGACCATACTGGCGGCCAAGTGTTTTCTCGGACTTTCTTTGTTGAGCCGTCTGATGGTCTCAGCCTCCTCGGTGCTCACTGTCAAGGGAAACCCCTCGAAGAAATCTTCCTCTTTAAAACAAGGGGGTAGGCCGAAGGCCCTCACGGCGACAGACTCGTCGCCAACTTCCGACCGGTTATCTGCCCGACTTCTCTTCCTCGTGATCAGCTCAGTGGGCTGCTCGATGTCAGGGGAGCCCGGGGAACCGCTAGAAGCATCGCCTGAACTGGTCGGCGGGCCCATCCTCGTGGCCTATGGAGCTCGCACCAGCCTTCTGTTTACTCTCTTGTCCTGAGACAGTTTTAAAAGCCTCTCCCTTCGTTCGGCCATGTCGCCTGCAAAGAAGAAAACTCGGGTTAGTTACGAGCAAGTAACAAACAATGAATATGGAATAAAACTATAAGACAAAGGCAACCTAGTAGATCTACGGCCTTCCCGTAGGATTGGCACGCGACGAGCGCCTTGGTATCGATAGGACGGGCCTCGAATGTCAGGTAACCTTCTTCGTCAAGAATATCTTCCCCCTCCCTCGTGACCCATCGGGCAGGGAAGAAGTTGTCGACATTCTTGCAAAGGGTGCCATAGGCTTCCTCATCCTCGACACTCATTCCTCCCACGGGCGTATGGTAGTACCCGGTACCATGCTCGTAATGGCGCGAGCACCAATGTAACGAGAACTTGGATACACGCCTCATCGCCGAACGACCCTCAGCGTCCATAAGGCGCTCCCCGTTCTCGTCGACCACCGCAGTTTCCTCTTCATATATAGAATCCAAAGCAGTCGGGGTGACCGGCTGCAGAACATACCACTTGTCCTTGAAGCCCCGGACCGAGTCCATGTACATCCTGAACAACCTCTTTGACTATTTTAGGGAAACCCAATTATGCCTGCCTCCTTGAGACTGACGCTGCAGGTGAAAAACTTTGAAGAAAAGAGGAATGGTTGCCCCGATCCTCAAGAAGCGGCATGTCAGCTTGAACGCCTGAAGGAAGGCGATCGAATTAGGATGAAGCTGCGAGGGGTCCAAGTCCAGATGGCAGAACACCCCGACTTGGAAATCACTGAAAGGGAGCTTAAGGCCGAGATCCTTGAACACGATCTCATACATTGGAAACCCATACTCGGTGAACTCTGAGCAGATTCGTGCATCGAGGGACGGCCTCGTCACAATGAAATTCTTCTGGAAACCCGGCTGACTACTGCCGTGTTCGACGATAGTGTATGCGCGCCGACTACACCGATGATACACTGAGGCAATCCCTCGGGGCTCAGCGCCCACCCAATCCAACGAAGGATCATCGACGGTATCAACTAGAGTCACGTTCTCTTCGGCACTTTGCTCCTCGACCTCATTACGCCTTGAAGACTCCGGTTCGTCAGCCATTTACCTGCAAAGCACAGGAAACCGGTGAAATTCGAGAGCAAATCCGCATGCTCGCCACAGTGACGGGAAGTAGTGCGCGACAAGCCAGACACGCTCGACCAGACGTCGGGAACAACAAGAGGATGGCATGAACATCCCACGCGATAAACATTGGGGACTCGATCAAGATCTTGGTTCCGCCTCCCCGATGCTAAGACGCTACGACGAGTTGTCCCACATACTTCCTAAAGGGTCAACGCCCCTGTCAAGCTCATGGGTGCGCCGACCTAAGCTATGAATGTGACGGGCAATATCATGAATCCTGTGCCTAGAACTATGGGTTTACCGGGCAGTATCATGGATTATGCGCCTAAAACCATGAAGGTCACAGGCAACATTATGAGTCATCTGCCTAAAGCTATGAGTTTACCGGGCACAAACATGAATATACCGGGCACTAATCCCAAATATGGGTTTCTAAACATCCAAATAACGGTAAAACTACCTACAATGAAGAAAAATAGAAGGAATAAACACTTACTTGGAAGCAAAGAAGAAAGTACGGAAGTGATGAAGGAAGTCAACGAAGGAAGATGCGGTAATCTTGCGATGTTGTAGGAGAACAGCAGCGACGAAAGCAGAGGAAGAAGGAGAGGCGCGAAGAAGAAAAATGAATTATGGGACCCAAGGATCCTATTTACAGGGATGGCGTGGAATACGAAATGTCGCCTCGGGAAGCCACGAACTTCCCCTCCTCGACATCTACCCCCCTAGGCAATGATGGCCCTACTGTCGCTAGGGTGGCATCACGATTCCCAAGGATTGCCTCATTTACCCAACAAACAAAGCCCGCAAAGAATCCCCCGAGCAATCGTCGACGAGGATTACGCTACGAACGCAACCCGTGAGAAACTCCTCGAGCACGCATGAGGATCAATATCCTGGGCCGAGCATCAGACCCCGTGGCAAAGTCGGGTTGAAGTCAAGTCATAACTCTTGCCCCAGGAGAAACGACTTGGGGGGCTCCTGTTCTGGACTGGGCCCGCCCTGGCCCAAAAAGAATGGATAAAGGCCCAATCCTAGCAACTCCTCGAGGAACGCGCGCCCACGGACTCCCACCAGTGTGCCCGACCCCAGACTGCAGCCATGCCCATCGTTGCCCGCGACACATGGTGTCCCCGACCAAGGGAACTCCAGCTCGAGCTCTGCTCGAGCACTCTCCCCGTAGGGCAGACTCTGTCCTCTCTGACCGTTATCGAATCATCTAAACTCCGGAAAGACCGCGTCTTCGTCCCTCCTCATTTTTCGCAGAGCATCACCATGAAGGGGGCCACGTGCGGGGACCCACTACACATGTAGAACCTGGCAGTTCCTTTATTTGGGCCCATTCTGGTTGGCCCAGTAAGAGGACCTTGGCCCAGCGCTGGGGGCTATAAATACCCTCTATTCCCAGAGGGTCAGGTAATTCATCTCTAACGCATATATACACTTTTTACCTGCTCATTCTGTCTCTCACTTTAGCATCGGAGTGCCTTGCAGGTACCCCTCCCCCCCCCATCTCACTCAGATTCTGCCCGAGCCAGTCGTGACGGTCCAAGTCTGATCAGGTAAGATCAGATATCAACTTCAGAAAAGCTTTTGCCTACAATGACAAGACTTGTTTCTCAGATAAGTTATTACATATATATTTGAAGACAAGAATCTACTAATGAAAGATTCTGAAATGAAACATCTCACTTAATTTTCATCTCTCAGATCAGATAAGATATAAGCCTTCAAGACTAGTTCTAAGATCAGAAGTCAAGCTTCGTATTTCAAAAAAGTTGTTGCTATTATTTTTGAAGACAAGTCATGGTTCTGACAACTCTGATGTTTCTATGCTACAACAACAAAGTAGTTTCTGAACTACTCATCAGTTATTCATAAGAAGAACAAAATTGATATTTTCCAAGCTTAATACTTGAGAATCAAAAGTACATCATCAGAAGATAAAAGATCAAGAAACTTAGTCAAGAAGAATATAGTATAAACATCACACCATAAATCCCACTATGATAATATTGGTTATATTATTCACATAAGTTGTCTCCCAAAATCTTATGCTAACAATTGCAAGCAGTAGACTAAGGAAAGTGACATTTCATACTATTCCAAATCTCTCTTGAATCTATCGGTTGGGAATCAACCGTTGGAAGGAGAAATGACTTTTCTATCCTTACAACGACTCTTTTTGAAGGCTACATAATAAGCAATAAATGGAATGCAATTTGACGATGTTAGCCACAACGAAAAGTCCAAAGTTGTTATTCATATTGAAAACAACTACAATGAGAGAGAGAGAGAGAGAGAGAGAGAGAGAGAGAGAGAGAGAGAGAGAGAGAGAGAGAGAGAGAGAGAGAGAGAGAGAGAGAGAGAGAGAGAGAGAGAGAGAGAGAGAGAGAGAGAGAGAGAGAGAGAGAGAGAGAGAGAGAGAGAGAGAGGAGAGAGAGAGAGAGAGAGGGGGAGAGAGAGAGAGAGAGAGAGAGAGATGAGAGAGAGAGAGAGAGAGAGAGAGAGAGAGAGAGAGAGAGAGAGAGAGAGAGAGAATATGAAAAGAAAGAAGAAGAAGATGGAGATGAAGAACTCTACAAGATGCTGCACTCAAACTTTGATTATATTCAGCTTTGTAGAATTATGTAAAAGCAAGGAGTTGTTGCTCATATCTTGCTAAACACTTTTGTGTTTTATCATGTACTTAAACTAGGAGTAATCTGCTTGTTAAGAAACATTCTTGTAATCTCCAGAAACTTTCTAGAATTTGTGATGCCTCAAGTGATCGAGTGAAGATTTGTATACTTGAGAAGACTTTGACAGCTGGTCATTGTAGATGAAATCCTTTCTAAGAGACCGGGTAGGTCAGAATCCTTGAGGGATCAATGATCGTTATATCTCTTAGGGGACCGGATAGGTCAGATTCTTAAGGGATCACTAACTGTATGTTCATTGTGTTGTTTGTCACCGGCGAGTAGTCCATGCTGTTGTAATTTGTTGAGATTAATGGATTAAGTCCTTGTTTAAGGCAAAATCACTTTGGTGCGTGGATAAGATATACCCTTGTTGAAAGTGAACTAAAATAAATCGAATGTGTCTCTTTATCTTTCTAGCATTCTATTTTCTTTCAATCATTTGATCAAATAGTTTTTCTAAAAGAAAAAGTTTTGAAAATCCAATTCAAACAATACTTTATCAATTTCACTTTACTAAAATGAATAGTGTATTTTAATTTAAATTATGAAGGGCAGAAGTCAAAAAACTGTTGCTTAGAAAATAATGGCCAAGATTCTTTGTTATTATGAAGGAATGGCTAAGATTTTAATACCATGGTTTTTCTTATGCATGTGCATGTATTCTAAAATGTTGATTTTTCAATCAATTGTAATTTTTGTACACAACTTTATAAAACACGCCATTTTTCTATGAAGTGAAATCAAGTTGGGTTGATTTATTTAGTAATTCAACTAATATCCTCCAACCATTTTGTATGTGTGGTCATGTGCATAATTTTATACTTGATTAATAATATAATCAATCAAATGACTTACACAAGTGTAGGAAGATCCACCCTCTAATAATGTCTTCCTACTTTGTTCACTCATTTCTTTTACTTTCTTCCTTATCTCTCCATTCTTTTTCATCACACTTCTTATTCCTCTCTCGATTTTGTCTGCAGTTAAAAGATAGTTACTTCCAACATCATACTCCATCCTATAATCCAAGGCAATCTCCACTCCCATCTTCAGCTCACGCACGAGTTCAAAAGCATTGGTCTGTTGCTCAGCTAAGAGTGGCCAAGTGGCAATAGGCACACCATAATATATGCTCTCAAGAGTTGAATTCCAACCGCAATGCGAAACGAAGCCTCCTGTGGCTGGATGGGCGAGTACTTGGACCTGAGGTGCCCATCCAATGACCCTTCCAATCTCCACTGTTCGATCTAAGAATCCTTCAGGTAAAACTGCAACCAAATTAGAAAAAGGATAATCAGACACAGGACCCATAGTTCCCTTTGGCGGAGGTTTCCGAATGGACCACAGGAAGCGTGCTCTACTTTTCTCAATAGCACATGCAATCTCCCTAACCTGATCCTCATCAAAAGCACCTGTGCTCCCAAAGCAGATGAAAATTACCGAAGAATGAGGTTGGTCATCGAGCCACTTAATTGTGTCATTAGAATCAACAAGACCATTAGGCTTGGGTTTGGTGTCAAGGTTTAATATGGGGCCCACCGGATATATGGGTAAACCACGTAGACCCGAGTCTTCCAAGAATGAGTGAGCCGCATGTGGTTCTAGCTCATGAAACGAGTTTACTATAATACCACTAGCTTTCTTGAGTCCTCTGCCATGGTGGATGAAAGCTGATTCCCACTTCTTGCGGAGCACCACAGTGGGCAATGTGTTTGTAGGAACTGGTTTAGAGAAACTCGGGATGTCCAACTCGTCCTGCTGCAACAACAATCGAGTCGCTTCTAAGTTGTTTTCCAAAAGTGTGTGAAGATGAAGCACCAAACCAAGGTAAGCAATACCAGAAGTGAAGTAGAGAAGGGACGGAACACCAAATTCGTTGGCAACATCAATCATGGTGGTACAAAACATGTCAACAACGAAAGCAGCAAGTTGTCCATTGATGTTGGAAACAGCTTCTTTAACGTTTGGTTTTTGGCTTTCAGCAAGAGCACTGGCAGAGTAAGCTCCATCAGAAGTGGAGGAAACATGAGGACGTTCAGGGAGGTTAATGACATGGAGATTTTCTGAGTCGAAGGAGGACGAAATGGTTTGTACTTTTTCATCTGTGTTTGGAAACTTGATGACCAAGACGGTTATACTGAGACGGTTGTCACGGTTGACAAGAAGCTTAGCGAACTCAAGGGTGGATACTAAATGTCCCACACCTGGAGAAGGGATAAACACCACTTCTACTTTCTTCATCCTAAACACAGCAGAACTAATAATTAATAATACAATATATTCACTCAAGACAATTAAATTACATGTAATTGTTAACTCGCTAGAAGCACATTATATATCAGTATTGTGAGTGATTGTTTTGCTTGTCAAATAGTGTATTGTGAGTGATGGTTTTGAATCTGAAATTTTGAGTGGTGAGAAACTAAAAGTGAATATCTTCTCTTTAACTTGTACAGTATATGGTTGCTGATAGTATAATAAAACGTGGTCTGTGATGCCTTTTTATTGGAGGCTTTTCAGATTTGAATTGAAAATATCTTCTACACTTGCTTTTCCAAATGTGTGAGGTGCAATGTAATCTCATTATGGTTTTAATATTTTGTTTTACACTTTTTTTGGTTTTTGTAAAATGAAGTTTTTAGGTCGAGAAAATCATAAAAGTTCAGTTTTCTACTGCAAATCATCTCAATCTGGTGATGTATTTCAGAGGTAATATGAGAGATCGCAGAAACATGGTAGAGACGTTAATCTTCAAAGCACAATTAGTTATGATGTTTCAATAACCCTCCTTATTTTATTAAATTTAAACAAATTTTTATTATTTTCTACAAATCTTATTCTTCAAAGAGAAAATAGAGAGATCAAATTAATCCCTAAACCCTAAAGTTTAACGGAATCAAAAACTATTTTGAAATATTTATAGTTTCGGTGACTCATTTGTGATCATCTAACAAATCATACTATATTTCACAATAATATATATTTCTAAGAGAAAATAGGATATGCAAGGACGGGTATTCTAACAAATGACATTTTAATTTAAAAACTATTTTGATAACAAGACATACAATTAGTTTTTTATTGGATTTTTCATTGGATGGCAGGGCATATCAATTAAACTCTTAAAAAATTAAAATTTGCAACTTCCATAAAAATATGTAATTATATTGAAATTTGTGTAAACAAATCATTTTAAATCCAATCTCAAAGCATTGTACAAACCTCAAGCAAATAATATATCGACACTGGTAATAAAAAGGTTACACATGTATACAAACTTGAAATAGCCATCCATGGGAATTGCAACGCAGATCAATGTTCATGTCAATACTTGATTTTTCTCTTTCTTTTCTATTTTACAAATTCAACTTAACAACAATAAAGATGGAACATAGACATAAACTATAAGATCACACTTGAATCGCACCAAACATTTCTTCATTCCTTACTTTGTGGCTTGTGCAATAATATTACTCAAGGAACTGGCTTCTTCCTTAGCAGTCTCCACCAATGAATCCTAAAAGTCAATATCATGCAAAATTGGATTAGAAAAACTGATTGAAGAATCAAACTATATCCAAAAGAGAAAGACCGTTGTTACCTGTGCAGCTATCAAACGGGCAACAGTTTTTTTGCTCGACTCCTGAAGCTCCCCGGCAATTAGAAGTTCATCAAGTATATAATAGGCCTTCCATGATTAAAAATAAAGAACAGATCAGAAGGAACATTACTATGAGTTATAGGAAAATAAGTAGCCATTAATTTAAATTTTGGACATAAATCGTTCTAGTTGGACAGACCTTATGGAAGTTGAATATCAAGTCCAATTCACAGACCTGCAAATTGACAAGTGACCATTATAAGTTAGAGATTCCACTTTCCACTAGTGAAGCAAGCAGTGCTATTCAAAAGTTAAGTTTTAATAGAACTTACACTGCCGAAATACCGATCAAGAATCTCCACAAAATGATGAATCATTTCAAGGACTTCCAATTCGTTGTCAGCATCATCAATACACATACAGAAATAAAGACTAGCATACCTGCAGCATATGTTCATTATAACACAGTCAGTTAAAAATCAAGCCAAACAAAAGAGTGCATTGCAAAGGGTTTAGGGCATTGTAGTGTACCCTTGCCATAATACCTTTTATAAACAACTTTATGTCCTCTCCACTCTACAAAGTTACATAGCTTGGGAGCACGACTAAGAATCACTCCGCTGAGCTCACGGATTACCTTGTCAAGAAAAGATTAGATATAAATACGTACGTATGAAGAATGTTTATCAATGAATGTAGTGTGCTCAGCATGCAATGACCATCACTATCATTATGTATATAATAGATAGATAAAAGGAAGGGGAAGAAAATGACAAATTACAATAATAAAGTGAATAAATGATAGGTGTTAGTTACCTTACTTCTTTCCTTCTGAGTGTAAGGTGAATACCATTTTGTGAGCCTGACCTTCCCTTGACGACTAATGAGCAGCACAAAGTGTATCTACATTTAGGAGGAGGAATAAAACATGCATGTTCAAATATGAAATACATAAATAATAATAATATATAATTAAAAAAATATTTAATTATAGGCGGTAACGGAAATCAATTAGTAGAGTATTAGTATCCTATTCACAATGACCGGAGTGGATCAGTCCTACCATCCATTATAAAGTTCATCAGTCATGCTATAATTTATAGAGGATTTTGAATTTTGACTGACTGTTGCACAATTCTGATAAGTTGTAATAGTTGGAATAGAATAAGTAATTAGATTAGTGCTTTCATACTTCTTGTTACATCACACTTACTTGCATAGAGAATCACAACCACTTCTTTGACTTAGTTATCTTATACACTTGGATAGAACACCACAAATAAACAAGAGATGCTAGTAAATTAAAATGTTCAAATTCAATGTCTTAACAGTAAATATGGAGCCTTGCCGAAGAAGAAAGACTATGATTAAGTAATGTCTAAACAATATTGTTCATTTCATAAATATTTGCCTAACTATCAACATATTAATTAACGGGCAATTGAATCAAGAACATGCACTCGTTTGGGACACACTTTTTAACACACTGTTGCATATTAATCTATTTTTGAAAAACCCAACACATTAGTATTATAAACTTATCACTTCTTAGTTTCAGTTGTCTTAAAGCAATTTCATGGTATTATGCAAAAGATACTAAACATCAAAACTGTCAACAATCATCTTATATCCCGTTAATGGTGCGAAATTGGATCTTACTAAATGTATTCCATACAAATATGCATATATACCCTAAACCCTACACTGATAAACATGCATACATACAAACATATATTCCAAGTACAAAATTGCAAGTTAAGAACCAAGTTCAACTTCATGATTGATAGTAACAGAAATCCAAAACATGAAAGAAAGCTGTCATTGTAGCTTCAACAATTACAAATTTAATGGTAAGGCAGCCAAGAATCCCAAGCAGACTTTGTTTTTTCACAATCAAGGTGAGCAACTGTGATCTTGCAAAAGCTACAAACACTTTGCAGTTATTGCAAAATCAGGGCGGCTCAGATAAACTCACCATAATAGAAAAAAACATTGAATCATTGACGGAGTTGGCAGTTCTGGGTAATTAAGCTATGTAACACTCACACCTCCGGAAAAATAGTGTGTCAGTGTCAGTGTCCGAAACCGACACCGACATTTGTGATTACGTTTAGTTTATAATTTTTTAAAAATTATTATCAGCATCGACTTGTCAGGATCCGCCTCGTGTTTCTAGTGTCTTCATAGTAATTAAGTCCACATACAGAGTCACACTCGAGTCTCAACTAACTATGGCTTGATCGGGTCACAAAAACTATAGGAAAGCATTATTCAACAATTAACTGGATCTTGAAGTTAACAATAACCTAGAACAGTATCTTCACAACAATTCACCCATGCTTTTGCATTAGTTGTGAAACATAACTGAATCAGATCAAACAAATCTAACAAGCAATGACACGGAATCAGATCGAAAAACCTAAGTACTAGTTGAACTGAATCATTCACAGTAGCAAGAAACTCCAACGACAAATCTAACAAGCAACCAAGAAAAGCATGAAGAAACTAAAATTCATTGAGGAGAAAACAAAATAAACAAAAACAGAAAAAAAAAATGAAAGTAGGAGAAGGAAAATAAGTAGACTCACCATTGAAATTGGGGAAAGAGATCTCAATGTTGCAGAGATAGAAATGGAAACGAAGATTGTTGAGATGTACGATTACGAATGAAGAGAGTTTTGTTTTTGTTTTTTGTCAAATGAAAATGTGGGTCACTTTCTGGCCCAACTAATCCCACTATCTTTTTCTGGCCCATTTTAATTTTAATATCCATATACAAAATAAAATTAACGTTAAAAATGATTTTCAGAATTTTTTTTCAAAGTCTTCTGGTATATAAAATAAAAGTTAAAAAATATTTAAAAATTAAATAATAACTTAGTTAAAAATATATAAAGGTAAAGTTGGTATTTTTTTTATAAAATATTGGGGTATGGGGATAAAAATAGGGATATCAGGTAAAAAATTTCCCCCACCTACATAAAATGCTCATATATTCTTTTTAAGATTTTTTCCCCGGATTCAGAATGTCGTTATGGGTTTTTTGTTTTAGTTTTTAAAAAATGAATTTTATAAAATCGTTTTTCAAAATATTACAAGTTTTTATATATTTGTTTATTCTAAATTGAAATACTATTTTTTATATCCTATAACATAAATATATATTATTGAAGATCAAAATATAGTCGAAATCACAAATTTTTAAAAAGTTGTATCTCAAAAATAATTTTTATAAAAAATATTTAAAATAACTTCAAAATTAAGTAATTTTTTGAAATTTGGGTATCCAAAAAAAAGTTCAATAAAATGATGAAATATCTAAAATAACGTTTTGAGCATAATATTCAAATCAAATTTTTATTTGAAACTTTTATGAAAAATTTCTTTGTAAATTTTTTTACACAAAATTATATAACACTATAAAATATTAATTACCGACTTGTTATCAATTTATAACACCAGGAGTTTCTTCACTTCGACCTCCATCTCTTCCAACATATATTTGATCCAAATTTCTTGGCACACAACATAAGATCATGCTATATATTTAGCCTCACGTGATGGTAATGCCACCTCATATTGCTTTCTCGAGCACCATGAGATTGGGGCACCAAAGACTTGAAAGAAATAATCAGTTGTGCTTCTTCGATCTTCCTTATCTCCACATCAATTATCATTCGAATAACAAGTAATCATAGCTTCTTTGCTTTTAGAATCTTGTGGAAATATAATTCCACAGTTTATCGATATGTTTAAGTATCTCAGGGTTCTTCTTGTATCCTTCATGCGTGACACCCTTGATTCACTCATATATCTGGTCACCAATATGCTTGAGAAACTTATATCGGGTCTACTATTGCACATATATCTCAGATATCCTATAATTTGTTTGAACAAAGTTGCATCGACTTTGTCCTTATCTCCACGTTTCTCCAATTTCATACTTTCTTTGACATACATCCTTTGATGCAACACTATATCTCGTTTTGACATTTGAAATTTCATGCCTAGGAAATAAGACAAATTTCCCATAACCGAAATTTCAAATTCTTTCTTCACCAGCTCTTTGAACTTCGATAAGCTATTCATGTTTTTTATCATTACTAGTAAGTCATCGACATACAAATAAATTATGGTTATATCTTGTGACATGACCTGCACATAGACACCATACTCTGACTTCCATTTAATGAATCTCAATTCGACTAAGTATGAGTCTATCTTCTTGTTCTATGTCCTAGGTGTATGCTTGAGATCATATAGGCTTTGTGAAATTTGTAATATTTTCTCGCTTCTGCCTATTTCACAAACCCCGGAGGTTGTGTGACATAAACCTATTGATCTAATGGACCATTCAAAAACGATGATTTCACATCTAAGTGAAATGTCGACCAACCTTGCTTGTGTAACCCCCTAATTTTTCTCGGCATAATTATAAATGAAATCAGAGTAATTAAAACACTTAAACAATTAGGAAGCTACTTTTATCAACAACCTACTCATAAAATAAGATATGCAACACATATGATAATTACATAACACAACACGAGTCTGAACTTCAACATTTTTATTAGCAGCGAAAAAGCATCACAACAAATAGTTTCACTTCTCAACATGAGTTTTAACCACAATAATCATAAAGAATTATCAATTATAAAAGTTATCCAACAATGGAGGTATACATATAGTTTCGTCCCAACATAAACAAAATAATTATCGATCCTCAGTGTTACATATCATAGCAGATACTGACTCAACAACACATAAATAAGAGAAACCTCTTCCACTAACTTCCACACCTCTAATTCTGAGTATTTGCATGTTACCCACATGGAGGCATAATTCAAACAAAAGGGGTGAGATTCACAATTCTATAAATAAATGTATAATAATATGTAAGCATATAATTATCTCAACACAATCATGTTAGACGACAACGCCTTATCTAGAAGGGGGTGAATAGATCACCAAGCCAAAAAATCCAAAAAAAAAAAAATGTTTTAAAAGTAATTGAAAAGAGTGCACTCGGAAGGTTTAGACATATATAAAAAATGTCACCTATACGAACCTAAATATTGGAACTCAGATATGCAAAATAAAGTGCTATATGGAATAAATAACACAATAATAAATTTACATACTTGAATAAAGTAACACACTATTACTCATTCATAGCAAGTTACTAGTAAAGCTATTTTCAATGATAACAAGCAAAAATAACGAATTATGCAATTTATCAAACACTTGGTGTGCGACCGAACTTTCAGAATTTTCCTTTGAGTTATATTGATGAAAAAAAGCACTTATAATCAAAAGTGATTATAAGAAAATCAACAACCAATTCAAAACAAAAATAGCCATGGAAAAATTCTTATGAGTCGATCGTTTAATCAATGATATTTGACAAATTACTTAATGAAAATCAAAGCAAGTAAAGCGATAAGAAAAAGAGACACATGAATTTGTTTAAGAAGTTCACCAATCCTCCTCGCTGTGGCTATGTCTCCCCCCCAATTCTAATATTGGAATTAGGATAAATTCTTACTATACAAAAAGTCACTACAAGAGAAGTGTTCCAAGAGCAACCTTACAAACCTAATCGTTTATTGTTGATTCAACCCCTTCTTTTCTTTTGATATTAAGCAAGACTAAGACCACAATAGCTACCAATTTATTTATCAAATCTTGTTGCTCCTTTGGGAACCAAACTCCAAAGCTCTTTCACGCACGATCAATTGTACCTATTGCAAAACAAGACACTTCAATTCAGTTCGTCGTTCTCACACTACTTTCTTGGGTACCAAACTCTGAAGGCTTTCACTAGGTCACAATCCTCTCTTAAATCTTTTGCACGAAAAACTCAAAATTTACCAAAGATCTTGGAGGACAAACCTGCAGTTTTTCCGTATGAAATCCCCTGTGTTAGGTGCCAACATGTGTTAATATTTAGTATAGTTAGTGGTGCTTTTCGATTCTATTTATCGCTTATTATTTTATTTCCCTCTTGTCTCTATGTAAATAATCGTATTTTGATTTAATCAATTAAATAGTTTGTAGTTAATCATATTTTGTCTAAATTGTAGGATTTTGCTTTGGATTGAAGCTTGGACAAGGAAATAGCTTAAAGATGGATTTCAAGCATTTTTGGAGTGATTTTTGTGCTTCAGTTCGTGCTTAGCACAGTGTCAATGCCGTGGAAAAAGTTTTGGCAGTAGCGATCGTGCTAAGCCCGGTCTGTTGGTGCTTAGCGCGATCAAAGACGATTTATCATTTTAGTGAAGCGCACTTAGCGCGAAGCACCGTGCTTAGCCGGTCTGCAAATTCATCCACTTGTATATATATATATATATATATATATATATATATATATATATATATATATATATATATATATATATATATATATATATATATATATATATATATATAATTATTTAGATATTTTTTAGGGTCTAACACATTTTGAGAGGAGAAAATTGATAGAACACGTTGTAGAAGAAGAAATAGAAGAATCAGAGCATCAATCATCGAGAAATCAACATTGATGCTTGATCATCTTCTCACTTTACTTATTGTTGAAGCTACCATGTCTATGGATAGCTAAATTTCTCTTGTGTCAAGATTAGAGGTAGTTAACCTAACTATTATGTATTTCTTTTGATCATCTTGTGTATGAACTAGGTTGGTGATAAATATATGTTGAATATCTTTGCTTTCATTATTCTTTTTATGGTTTGGGTCACTATTAAGAAGTATGTTTCAAACTTGACCTAAGATA